TCTATACTCGTAACATAATTGTCGAATGGCTTCGTTTTCTTCACGGTTGCAATGATTTAAACGGAGGTTTTTTAAATTTTGTTTTTGTAAATTATCAATATGCTGATTTAATTCAGTATCGGTTTCCATTTTTTCTATAAAATTAAGTTCGTTAATGTTAAAAATTTCGATATCTAAAGGTTGGTTTATTTTTATTTGAACGGGGTGTTCATTTGAATTTGTTATAGTCGTTATTGCGTGGTTGTCTATAATGTTGACTAAAGCTCGGGGTGATTCTACTCTATCTTGATATTTTTGGTACTCTAAATAACCTACTTGATTTTTTAAATGGGGATTGCAATTATTTATGGGTACCTTAACCACTTGTTTTGTTCTACTGGGAATAAAATAGTCATAATCAGTTTCATGGGTTTTGTTTTTGATAGTGTCGATGTTTACATTTCGAATTTGTTCGTTTTCAAAAATGATAGGTATTTTAACGCATGGTGTTACAAGTAATTTTGCATTGATATCTACATTCGCTTTAAGTTGTTTCAAGAGATCCATACCAATTATACCATCGTATTTGTTACTAAAATTGAACAGATAAAATTTGTGTGTTTCTTTTAAATTGAAAATTTTGAAGATCGGTATTTCCATTACTTCGTTATGATACGTTATGTTATGGGCGGTTTGAACATTGAAATCTTCATTATAAATAAATCTATGATAAAAGGTGTAAGCTAATTTTGGATTTATCATACTTCAGGAACTACCTGTATCTATTAGAAAATTTGCATTTAAGTTCGGTATGAAAATGTACGGTAAGTTGGATTTGATATGATTAAGATTAATTACGTCGGGTTCTCGGAATGGCTGGCCTGATAAAAATTTTCATGTGAAAGTTCTTCTGCAATGTAATTTCCAGGTAAATTGTTATAATCGTTATCGTCTGCAGTAACATGATATTGGGGTTCATTACCTTCTTCCACAGAACTGCTTGTTGCGTGGGAATCATAAAAATCGTTATAGGAATTTTCGGGGTGGTCATAAATTGAATATTGATCAGGGTGATTTAATTGTTGGTCATCGAAATTTTCGGAATTATTGGTATCTTGTAGAAATAGTTCGTTAGATGTGAAATTTTTACGGGGTTGAATTTTTGTATTGCCTGAAGATGTATCCATCGGTTCTGGTTGGTAATTTGTATTAGGTCGATTTTGGTGATTAGTTTTATTTAAATAAGGGTTTCTTGAAATTTGGCTGGGTCTTTGCGAAAAATAAGGAAGTTTCTGTGTAGGAAACGGATTGTTTTGCTTCCAATTCATTTGCGAGTTTTGCATATGGGGTCTCGGTGTTTGTAAATTATTTTGTCTTGGCAGTTGGAAATTTTGATGTGGTTGAAATCGAGGTTGAAATGAACTTGTAGGAGGTCTCCAATGATTATTAGTAGGTCCTACATGGCTATTATTGTTCTGAAACGGTGATGTATAGGGTGATTGATTTGAGGGCGTTATACGCTGTGTTGGTTTATACATGCTTTGCGTATTTAAAAGGTTACCTCTATTTTGACTATATAAAAAGTTTTCTTCTTCTATTAATAGTGACATTGCTTTTTCTAAATTTTCGGGGTCCCTAAGCCTAACATTATTTTGAATTTGGCCACTTAATCCACGGATAAAGGTTTTTAAAGCTAATTCGTCGTAATTTTTTAATCTGAGAGTTTTTTCTGGGACGGTTAAATCTGATGAATTTAATTTTGAAATAATGAGACTGCGTGCGTCTTGACATCTCATTCCAAAATTGTAAGGAGTTTCGTTTTTATTAGGTCGTAAAATAATTAAATCTTGTACGAGACAATCAATGTTGCGCTGGTCACCAAAGCTTAAGTTTAGTGCGTTTTTAATTTCGTTCCACGTTCTTAATTCTATTCTGGAACCTATGAGACTCAAAGCTCTACCTGTTAATTTACTTATTATTGCTCTTAACATAAAATTATTCAAAGTTTCGTTTACTGGATCATAAAAATTCAATATTAGGTTTTCGCAATTATCGATAAAAATGCCGAATGTGTGTGGGTTACCATCAAAATTTGGAATAGTTTCTACATATAATTTAAGTAATGAGTAATTTACGGTTTTTGGCTGCGCTTGGGCCATTATTTCTGGGTTTTCAATTTCGTCAATTATTTCACTTTGTTCACTACGATAAGTTGTAAAAGCGTTAGCAAGTTGTTCTGTTAGTTTTTCTAATTCTGAAGGCATAAATTACGTTTTTTACTAAGTATAAAATGATTTTAATAAACTTTCTCTTTATACCGCTTGAGTAGAAAAAGAACTTTGTAGGGGATACTTAAAATATTAGAATAAAGGAATTGTTTGACTTACAGGAATATGATGCTGATTTTCATGCTCTTTTCTTAAATTACGTTGCTTATCCTACGGTTTGGGTGAATTCGGCGATGCGGTCCAAATTTTTCCCAGGATTGAAGTTCGGCGATGTTGTCCAAAAATCAATTTGCGAGGTTTCGGCGATGCTGTCCTACGTCTCTGGTGTGTGTCAAGTTTTCGTTCGGCGAGGTTTCGGCGATTTTGTCCTACGTCTCTGCGTTTCTCAAAACGTTGCTCTTCTCGTAATCCAATTTTGAACTTCACAAATAAATCGTTATGACGAACCGAATTTTCCGGACGCGATTTTTGTCGCCACACTAGTGGAAATTTCGTTTTGTGAATCCTACCGACTGCGCCAATTATGTTGTTCGATTATGGAAAACGATTTTTAAAAACAATTTTTATTTTTATGACAACGTTACAATGAGAATCCGGACTGAACTTGACTGCCTACCATAATGAAAAACTACATATAATTATAAGTTTCCTTATCGAAGGAATGTGCTGATGTCGGTGCTGATGTCGTGTAAAGGTCTACCATAACTCAATAAATCATTACGTGTAATCGTATTCAATAAAATTATTCGTTGGTTGCGAAACAACCTGGTCCTTTATTCGAAGAGTCGGAGATCAATCTAACATCTCAAACATTGACCCATTCGAGCAACGAGATGATCTACAGAACTTATCGATAACTGTTCAACAACAATCAAGCTGCAATTCAGCTGAGGAAACTTCTGGACATTCGTCGCCCCGGAGTAAAGATAAGCTTTCTTTATTCCTAAGTCTAGCTAGTTGTAGTGTACAAACCTTTCAACTTATTCAACTGCTCGAGTCGTTAGGTTCCTTAAGCTCTAATCAAATCAGTCGGCACCAAATTCTGTAAACGTGGATTGAAACGTCGACAAACAGTTAAACAAACACAAGGCCACAGGGTCCGCGGTGTATAAACGATACATACTAACAAAATTTCTTGTAGCGTATGTAAGAGCGAGCATTATACAAACAAGTTTAAAAAGTCATTATGCAAACATAAAGACGAGAGCGAATTTTCCTCCTAATAATATTAATGCTAGGACCAGGGAAAAATACCGGTAGGCACGAGATCCTTACCCATTCAAATGAGCCGCCTATCGTCGAAATCTATACAGTTTAATGAAAAGTAGCGGAGCGTATACAAATACAAACAAATTTTGAAATGGGCATTAGTTTTACTTTTATTCGAAGTGTCTACATATGAAACTTTTTTAAATGATTTCGTAAATAATATTGCGCATCATTTACATTAGAAATTTCGTTAATTTTGAAACCGGTATTAGTTTTAGCACAGATCTACACATACAGGGTGGTGCCTAGCGCAACGCAGCATAGGGATTTCAATGTTAATTTTTTTTTATTTATTTATTTTATTTATTTATTAATTAATTAATTAATTAATTAATAATTTTTTTATAGTCAATTACTAGCTCTCCTAATTATTTTAGAGCAAAAGTCCAAATAAGTTTTTTTTAGAGAAAAAAATACTGCATCTGTTCATACTTTTAGTTATAATTTTCAATTTTTCAAAACCGTAGAAATCGACAAAATAAAAATTACATTTTTATAAATCAGTGATGCTTTGGAATATTTTAACAAACTACAAGCGCATCGCATGTAAGTTATCGTTGTTTGACGTCGAACGATTTCCCTATTTAATTCTGTTGCAACTATCCGATGCAAGAAAAAGCGGCAATTGGGTTTTTTTTAGAGAATGTATGCTGCATCTGCATCAGATACTATTTGTTTATCATTTTCCGGAATCAGAGTACCTACCTACATAATCGAAGAAAAAAAATTGATTTGAAGAAGATTTATTCCTAAACTTATATTCGGATTTTCCGCTACTGCAGCTAAAACGTTGAATGTATTGTCGTTTTCCTAATGGTTTTGACGGACATTTTGAACGTTATTGCACTTGCAGTTCTTTAACTAATTTATAAATAAGTATAAATTTAATATACGTCAAAGGCAAATTATGAAACGTGATCGCTGTTTTTTTAGGTAATTCCAAGGCATATTTGATTTATTGTAAAATGAAACTTTTTATTTTGTCGATTTCTACAGTTTTGAAAAACGGAAAATTATGAGTAATAGCATGAACAGATTCAGTATTTTTTTCTCTAAAAAAAACTTATTTAGACTTTTGCTCTAAAATAATTAGGGGAGCTAGTAATTGACTATAAAGAAATTACCATTGAAATCCCTATGCTGCGTCGCGCTAGGCACCACCCTGTATATGTATGTGTAGATCTGTGGTTTTGGTTTCATCAAAGTGCCTACATTGATATTTCATTTACCTGCTTTCGTAAATCGGAAAGTTACCATTGCGGATGCGCAAAACAACATTTTGAAAAACGTCGTTAATTTTACTTATATTCGTAGTGTTTGCCCCATGGTATGGGGTAAGTGCGTATTTCAATTCTATAGCCGCCTGTAAAAGCATAGCAACAGAAGTGGGGCATGTGCGTATAAAGCCCACATTTTCATGCCCAAGTGAATTTTATACAATTAAAATCCGTCCATAAAAAACGAAATATTTATTAGAAACTGAAAATAAATCCTGATAATAAAAAAACATCACTTTAGGAAAACTCATTCAATTTGATAACTGTCAAAAAGTACGGGAAATATATATTCCCCGCGACGACCTGCAGTTGGAGGAGGCAGAATAGCTATTATTGAGCTGTCTAGCACTTCACTTACGTCTTCTGCAGAAGGTGCAACGAACACAGTGGCAGATGGCAAAGTCTTCTTTTTGCGCAAGAAACGGATCAGAGGTTCCAGCCCAAGTGAAGTTATTTCTCCAACATAATGCTTTTTGGTCTTCTTCGTACAGAACTGCACTAGAACCCAGTCTCCAATTTCCCTGTCTTCCACACGTTTCTCATGAAATCTTGTGTCCATTTCGAGTTGATTAGACTGTTCAATCATTGATATTAAGTCCTCGTCACCTGACGAATCCGCGAATTCAATTTCCGTATGCTGATCTTCATGCAGTGACTCATTTTCATTCTCATCTTCATTTCCTTTCTTAGTTTTCTTTTTCCGTTTCTCTCGCTTTTTGCTTTCTTCTTGTTCTATTAATTTTTGTTTAACTTCTTCAGATGTTATTATTTCTGCTCCTTCACAGATTCTCTTCCGCTTCGGTTTCTCCGTAGAGCCCCTCTTGATGCGCGATAATAGCAGGTCTTCAAAAGAAGTTGATGGCTCTTCGACCAACTGCTCTTCAAAAGGAGTAACTGGTACAATGTGAGATGTGGAGGGAATAGCTACTGGATGTTCTGTTGCTACTGTTTCTTTTACCAAAGGCTTTCCAAAAGAATTTGCTGGTACATCATGAGATGTAGAGGGAATAGCTGCTGAAGACTCTGTTACTGCTTGTTCTTCATTAGATGAATTCTTCCACCGTTTTAGGGCTTCTGGATCGTACATGTCTTCAGGAATCACCGAGTTGTCGATAGGAAAAATTCCAGCCTTCCTGAACCCATTCGTAATAATCAATGGTGGAATGTCGTTCCATATTTGGCCAATCATTTTTGAAAATTCGGCTTTCGGGAGCTTTACACCTATATTTTTCCTTTGCCATTTCACCAGGTCAGGATCCCACTTATTTTTGATGGCCTTCATAACAGACAGATCTAAAGGCTGTAGGACATGACTGCTATGGGGCGGAAGTTTTAATATCGTGATGCCGGCATTTTCAGCCTTTTCGATAACCGCGAGACTGATGTGTGTAACATGGCCGTCATATACAAGAAGGACTGGTCTCTCCGATCCAATTGCCTGAACAAATGCTCCCTCTATGTACCTTTCAAAGACATCCGCCGACTGCATCCAGCCATTTGGTGTTGCAGCGTATGTTGTGCCAGGATATGCTGAATCAGATATCATATGCGTCCATAATTGCTTACCTTTGAAAATTATCAAAGGAGGAGCTTTTACGCCACTAGCACTGCAGGCAAACAGAACCGTGGTATTTTCTCTACCTGGACCAGCAGTTGTTCGTGTCGATTTCGCCCCCTTTTTGCCGACTACTTTCGTTTTAGAAGGGTCGGAGCAAAAGCTCGTTTCGTCCAAGTTCCAAATTAATTGAGGTTTATCAGCAATCCCCAGTTTATCGACAGTCTCTTTCAATAAGATGAAATACTGATTAATAAGGAACGGATCTATACTTTTCCTTCTAGCTATCTCAATATTTTCCGGCTTTTTTACTGATAAGTTTTGCCTCCTCATGAATGCAGTTAACCAGTCTTTGTGTGGTATTCCATCTTTAAAGGGCGTTTTAATTTTATTTGAATTCACGTATTCTCCCACCAAATCCATGACCTCTCTCCTGGACAAACCGAATCCATGTTTTTCAAGTTTTCTTAAATAGTCAGCTAATTTACTTTCATCCTGCAGTGTCAGAGCAGTTGGTCTGCCAAAAGTTGAACTTAATTTTCCCCTTCTTCCTTTGATATGGTCAATTAATGTATTTATGGGTATGGCGTAAATTCTGCTGTCTTGCGCAACGGTTCTCCGGCCTAATTTGACTTCATTCATGGCTTCAAGCAGCTGATCATGCGTGTATGTTTTCGCCCTCTGACTTTTCCTCACATACGTTCGCACCATAGTTGAAAATTTTCTGAGAAACGATATGAATTAGGTAAATAATCGTGGTAAGAATTAGCAAAGGGGCAAGTGCGTAGTGAAACGGGGCAAGTGCAAAGCAGTCTGCACTTGCCCCTTCAACATACTACGCACTAACCCCACCTAGTAAATTTGGCGGGAAAGTGCATATTAGCCTTTATTTTCAAGTTACTATTGGTTTTGAGAAAAAATGTACGAATAACTAAAATATGCATACATAAGGCATGGTACTACCAAAAAACAGAAGATTGCAACTAAAATTTTGCGAAAAGCGAATAATTTTCGAGGAACGCGTCAACTTCCATTTAGTAAGTTGCAAACTGCGCGGTATGACAACCGCGCTTAACGCTACAATTATTGTACATGTGGCGACATCTACCAGTTATAGGATGTAAAATCATCCAAATAGTACACTGTAATCAGACAGGCATCTACGAAGCACTCGTTGATAAGATACGTTGCAGCTACGCACTTGCCCCGAGAACGCACTTGCCCTCACTTGCCCTATACAGTTTCATTTAAATATCTTCATAAATAAAAAAGGTTAGCATTGCACATGCGTTAATTCAAACTTTTGACACTGCGCATGCGCAAAACCAGCAAATATAGGTATGTACGGAATCCTTGGACCAAGCCCTATCAAATGAGCCATATATCGCCCAAATCAGTTCAGTAGTGTAGAAGGAGTACGTGTGACGGACGGACGGGCGACAAAGTGCAGCCAATAGCGATTTTTCACCTTTGCACGAATTGGTTTGCCGAATAAACCTATTGTGCAGCACTCCGCCAGCCTTGGAAAGAACATATCGAGATTTTAAGCACTTTGACTATCAGGTATTCGACCGCGACTTAAGAACTGTCGATTAGAACACAATTTACAATCTTCCTAGCATAGATGATAAAGTGCAGTTCCTTACTGTAAATACCTACTTATTATACATTTACTAGATGTTCATGCTCCAGTGAAAACATCAAAATTTATAAAACCATTCGTTCCTTGGTTAACGGATATCTTGAAGATTATGATTTCACTAAGAAATAAAGCACTTCAACGCTTTAAACGCAGTGGATGTCCTAGTCATCGCGGGAACATTATAATACTCTGCGTAATCTAAAGGCGGATCCACATTGGTAAATATTTGCGTTGTGTGTTGAATTCGACACAAATAAGCCCGTGTGCGCCGAAAATTTTGTCTGTGTGGACTGTGCGCCACACGAAAACGGTCGCAAATAATTTCGTAACGAACAACGCACGCTATTCACTATGCTGTCGGTTTTCCAGTCATTTCAAAGAGATTTGCGCTGCAAAGTAGTTTCAATGTGGACTTGGTTGCTTTTAGTCCAGTCAAATTATCATAATACCTTGCATCAGATGTGTCACTTTTTTTTCACTATTTTTTTTTTCGTACTTCCGAGACTAAAATGACAACTTCACTCCATTATGACAAGTACTGAAGTGTCACTTTTTGTCCCGCCGGGATTAAATTTGGGCGAAAATCCCGGAAGGATGAAATTACTAACAAGGCAATTTCAGTAGGTTGTTCCACATTTTGTATGCGGCTACTACTTCTTAAACGCATCGTACTGCTGCTCATATAGTTTTTTGGATTTCGGTGGTATCAATTCTTTACGTACTTTGGCTGCTCTTTTATCAATATCAAATACACCTTTGTCGCCCACCACCAAAATTATGACACTATAGGGTTTTCGCTATAAAAAGCGTTGCACGTCATTGATTTGATGACATCAACAATACACGGCATTGCCAAATATTTCTAAGGTATGCTGATATATTAATCTTTTATTAAGGAAACACTTTTAGGTTATGTTTCTACCATCCAGATTCCAGAGGAACTAGAAAATTCAGAGATCATTTTTTGGGCTCCCTGTGTGAAACCAACCTACTGTGCATCAATAAAACCCATTCCTACTGTGCTGTGACGGGTTCAAGGAAAGTGCAGTACACTAAGTGTAGTACTATTAGCATTTTGTTTATAACGTATCGCTGCCGTTGTGAGCAGAAAGATGAGGAATGTCGGCATTGCGGCATTATGTAAATGTTTCGGAAGTTATAAACCATTGCATAGGCCATCAGCAAATAAATATCAAGTTAATGCTTGCTTGAAATCTTGACTGATTTTACGTTATTTGGCCAACTCTTGCTGTAGTGGAATTTGAGACTAGTAAGTTCAACCGAGACAAAAACACAAGAAATTTTATTGAACTACATAAAATGATAATCAACATAAACTGATATGATCGTAAAAAGGTGAAAGATACTTTTCAGACTACGTAACATTCCATTTTGTTAACATAAAGAAAATAAATTTTAATACACAGTTCTCGTGACTTAGGTAATTGCAGTTTTATTTATTGTCCAGTTAATCGTCATCACTCAACTATCATTTTCACCCAGTTTATAATAATTGGGGCCATTTCTGCAATATCCAATTGTTTTTCGCGTTCATACCATTCCTTTATTAACTTTTCGGTGTGATTAATTGAATTTTTCCACATTTCTGAGGTTACAATCGCAAGTGCAAGTTTATTGTGTAACGAATCTTGAAAATCTGCTTTTCTCCACGAGTTGTTCGGATTTTGTGTCAATAAGGTGCTGTGGTAAGAAGCATTGTCCAATACGATAACACTTGGTTCTTCTAAATTTACTAATAATTGTTTTTCAAACTAATGTAAAAAGTTTTCACGATTCATTTCTCCGTGGTAATCGCCAGTACTTTTAGATGCAAATACAAGATCTGCGATATCAAAGCTTCGTTTTGTTTAAAAGCTTGGGAAATTCTGCTGACCGTAGAAATGTTTAAATGTAATGCTGCCGCAACGCGCTGAAGGTAATCACAATTAGTAGAAGTAGTCAGAAGTAATTGAAACCATTCTTACCTCTCGAACTGAACCTAATGGTAATAAGGAACCCCCATTATCTCGTTCCTGTTCAAAATATTGAATTAAAGAGTCAAGGAGTTGCTTCACTTTACTGGTCAAATGTTTCGGCATTGTGGCGAGTACAAATGCAAATAACGGTAGAATGTACACAAACAGCAATTTTGTTCTGAACAGAACACATTTTTTTGCACTAAGAGTGAAGATGAATAATAACAACAACCACAAGAATAACCGAAAACTTTCACACGCAAAAACCGAACAAAAGTGTCAAATGTCAACAAATATTACAAATAACGTTTGACAACATTGTAAAAAAAATTCCGAATCTGCCAACTTATTCTCCCAAAAAGTAACTAAATAATAATGAATATAAATCCGTCAAATCTTGATTTAAATTGGCATGCCATTTTCTTCTGTTGATGACGTGCAACGCTATTTATAGCGAAAACCCTATATATATATACAGGCAACTGACGTTGAAAACCGGTCGCAAATTACAGGACCACGACGGTGGGATAGGGAGTGTCAACAGTAAGCTGACACTGAGAACGTTGACTTACCTTATTATCTACCGTTGGCAACTCTGGCAAAAAAAAACCTACAAGCAGAGCCACCTACCTTTCAAGTCGAAACGATGGACGTTTCGCGGCATTTTTGAATTTGGATGGCAGTCGGCTCGATATGGATGGCACGAATGAACTCCTACGTTGTGTAATCGGTTCTTTTATGTGTTGGGACGTGAGACATAATCGGGAAGGGAATTAAATAAAAGACAGAACTTTTGTGCGTAAGAAATGACAAGAACAAATAAATATATTAATTTACACAACAACACCATGCCAGGGAAACCTTCTACGGGACAGAAACCCCGACATAGGCCACACAAATACATGAAATAAATCACCTACAGCAATAAAATGCAAGAAGAAAATACACATAAATAAAGCATCTCAAATTGTATAATAATCAGATAAATCAAATGCAATTAAACAAGTTCATAAAAGCAAAATACACAAGACATCATAAATGCAGTGGAAAACCTGATAAATCAATTCACTACAAAAACACATCAAAATACCTGTACGATCAATTGAGCTAGACAATCGTAAAATATTAATCAATGGCATGTACAAAGGCAACATACTCCAGCCTTCCGTTAACATAATTTTATTTAACACGAAAAGTACATGTGAGAATGCCAATAGCAAGTATTCATGTGAAAAACATCGAAACATCAAATAGAGAGCCCATTCGCATAGCTAACGCACAAGAACTGCAGCGCGCCACCAATAAGAAAGTAATAGATACAGCGAACACTCATGTATTAGGTACTTCCCTCAGGGAATAGTAACGGATCAATCGAACATATCTTGTCCTTGTCTTATGTATCATGATGTAAACAAAGGAATTTACGTGTTCTTGTTTCGAAGTCCATTAATTACGAAGGCGGTATTACAATGGCGACGATTGCTCTTTGGTGCAGTTTCGACCAAGACGATTGTAACGTAGGTTTCCTCATGTGCAATGTTCGATGATTGACGTCTGGCTTCGCTCATTGTTGTTGAAAACTGCACGGCGACATCTTGATCTCTTTGTTGATCGATAGTAACAACAAAACCTGGTCGGCCATTGATGAACGACGACTTAATGCGAATCAACGGATTCTCAACGATGAATGCTACGAGTTCTGCGCGATGAGTGCATATTTTGCTTCTGCACCTCATGCACCGGACACGTAACAAGCAGGAATATATACAGGCATGGGCAAAATTATATGCACAGGGTATTTTCAT